GAAGAGAAGTTGAGGAAGGTCCAGTTGTTGCCGATATGTAGCTCAATATCCTTAGGATAATGCTAGAGAATCTCCATTGTTCTGAAATGGAGAAATTAGACAGTGTAGTTTCGTTATTACGATGTCAAGCTAGAATTTGGTGGTCTAATGCGACGATGAGAGCTGCAAGGGACCAGGTGACGTGGTCATTTTTCTTAGAATAATTTAAGAGCAAATACATCGGGGATCAGTTCATTCGTCAGATGAAGCAAGAGTTCATGAGCTTAAAAGAAGGGAATCACACTATATATGTGTTTGAGTGTGAATTCAACAAGCAGAGTAGATTTACAGCTGAGTTGGTTCTTACGGAGAATGACTCTTGTGATTGGTTTGTGGAGGGTTTAAGGCCTCGATTGAAAGAATTAGTATTGGCACTCAATATCTCTTCATTCCAAGAGGTAGTGAACAGAGCTAAAGCACTGGAGCTTGCTCAAAACGAGAGGTTTGTGGAGCAAAGAACACAACGGAATAAAAGTGCTGGTGCATCGTCTAGTGCCTCCCAATAAAACAAAAGTAGAGGTTTGAGTCCTCGACCTCAGACTAGAGTAGAATCTGAAGCATCCTCAGGTAGATGATCAAATCGAGGAAGAGCCAGACAAACTCATTCAGTTCAATCAAGAGTGGATAAGCCAAATCAATGTCAGCACTGCGGGAAACATCATAGTGGCATATGTTGAAGTGTCTCCGGAGCTTGCTTTAAGTTCGGAGAGGCAGGACACTTTATTCAAGACTTCCCATTAATGACTGGAGAGCCTACCCAAACAGAAAGATACACTGCTGTACCGATAAAAGGTAGAGGAATGAATCAGTCCGAGTTGACCACTCAACCTGAAGTGCGCTTCACCGCTCGAGTGTATAATTGAAATACCAGTGAAGATTGTGATGATCCTGAAATAATTTCAGGTACTTTTCAGATAGCTGGTAAATCTGTTTTATTTCTGATTGATCCAAGATCGAATTATTCTTATGTTAGTAGTAAGTTGGTGAAAGATTTGAGAATTTCGTTAGAACCTATTCGTAGCAAGGTGATTGTGACTAATCCATTAGGACATAGTGCTCGGGTGAGACAAATCTGTCGAGGGTGTCCTATATGGATTCAGGGAATTGAATTCCCTACTAATCTAATAAAATTACCCTTTGAGGAGTTCAAGGTTATCCTTGGTATAGATTAGCTTTATCATTATCACGCCAATGTGGATTGTCGATTTAAGAGAGTTATGTTGAAGAGTCTTAATGGATTGGAAGTTAGTGTGGTCAGTGAGAGAATCAATCCCTTAGCTAAGTGATACAATGATGTCGGCTCAGAAATTAATGCTACAAGGATGTCAAGATTATCTCGCAAATGTAATCGATACTAGAGGCAAAGAAAGGAAGCTTGAAGATATTTCGACAGTCAGAGAGTTTCCAAAAGTATTTCTGGAAGAATTACCTGGTTTACCTCCAGATAGGGAGGTTGAATTTCATATTGAAGTTATGTCAGGATCAGCACCGATTTCAATGGCTCCTTATAGGATGGCCCCAAAGGAATTAAAAGAGTTAAAGATTCAATTGTAGGAGCTTTTAGATAAAGGATTTATCGGACCTAGTGTGTCACTTTGGGGTGCTCTAGTTTTATTTGTAAAGAAGAAAGACGGTTCGATACGCCTTTGTATTGATTATCAGCAACTTAACAAGGTGACCATAAAGAACAAGTGTCCTCTTCCAAGGATAGACGATTTATTTGATCAAATCAAGGGAGCTGCAGTGTTTTCAAAAATTGATTTACGCTCAGGGTATCATCAGTTGAAGGTTCAAGAAAAAGATGTTCAAAAACAGCGTTTATGACTCGGTATGGTCATTACGAATTTGTACTAATTCTATTCGGGTTAACTAACGCACCTACAACGTTTATGGACCTGATGAACAGAGTTTTCCAACCGTACATTGATCAATTTGTGGTCATTTTTATTGATGACATTTTAGTGTATTCAAAGTCAATGGAGGAGCATGATGTCCATCTTCGTATGGTTCTTTAAATGTTACAAGACAAAAAGCTTTATGCAAAGTTCTCTAAGTGCGAGTTTAGGCTAATTGAAGTGGCATTCCTTGGAAACTTGGTTTCTCTAGAGGTAATTCAGGTAGATCCTTAGAAAGTTCAAACTGTGTTAGAATGGGAAATTTCGAACAATATGTTAGAAGTTCGGAGTTTCCTGGGTCTCGCAAGTTATTATCGAAGGGTTGTTAAGAACTTTTCGATGATATCTCCGTCTTTAACCAAATTATTAAGAAAAATGTGCCTTTTGAGTGGACTCCTGATTGTCAAAAGAGTTTTGTAGCATTGAAGAAAGTTTTGACATAAGCTTCGGTGTTAGTGCAAACGGAATCAAACAAGGATTTCACGAATTTTAGTGACGCTTCCCATAATAGTTTGGGATGTGTTTTAATGCAAGATGGAAAGGTAGTTGTTTATGCTTCAAGGCAACTTAAGCCCCATGAAAAGAATTATCCAACGCATGATCTTGATTTAGCAGCGGTGTTCTTTGCATTGAAAATTTGGCGACATAATTTATATAGTAAGCGTTGCTATATTTTCACCAATCATAAAAGTTTGAAGTATTTGTTGACACAAAAGGAGTTAAATTTGAGGCAAAGAAGATGGATGGAATTACTTAAGGACTATGATGCAATTATAGATTATTATCCCTGGAAAGCCAATGTAGTAGCTGGTGCTCTTAGTCGGAAGACTTTTGCCGCTTTGCGTAGTTTGGATGCCCGAATCGTGTTAAAAGATAATGGTGCATTGATGGCTGAATTAACGTTGAAACCGTTATTATTAGAGCGGATTCAGGAGTTTTAAATGAATGATTAAAAATGTTTAGCTTGGTTTGAACAATTAGACAAGGGTGAACTCAAGGACTTTTATGTAAAGTCGAATGGGTGTTTACATTTCAAAAATCGAGTTTGTGTTCCCAATGATAACGAGTTGAAAAGAGATATATTGTATAAAGCACATTGTAGTCCTTTAACTATGCACCCAGGAGGAAACAAGATGTATCAAGATTTGAAAGAGCATTTTTGGTGGCTAGGCATGAAAAGAGACATTACGGAGTTTGTATCAAAGTGTCTTAATTGTCAACAAGTAAAAGCTGAACATCAAGTGCCTTCGAGATTATTGCAACCGATCTCAATTCCTCAATGGAAATGGGAAAGAAATACAATGGATTTCATAACATGTTTGCCCTTATCGCCAAGTAAAAAGGATTCAATTTGGGTAATTGTGGATCGCCTCACAAAGACTACGCATTTCATTCCTGTGCGAACCGATTTCTCTATGGAAAAACATGTTGAATTGTATATCAAGGAGATAGTGTGACTTCATGGTTTTCCAATTTCAATAGTTTCTCACAGAGATTCCATATTTACTTCGAGATTTTCAAAGTCTTTGCAAGGAGCTTTGGTTACCCGATTAAATTTTAGCACTGTTTTTCATCCTCAAACCGATGATCAATCTGAGCGAACGATTCAGATTCTATAAGATATGTTGAGAGCGTGCGTGATTGAATTTTCTGGATCGTGGGAAAAATATTTGTCGCTTGTGGAATTTGCATATAATAACAGTTATCAATCAAGTATCAAGATGGCACCGTATGAAACATTGTATGGTAGAAAGTGCAGGACGCCACTTAATTGATATGAATTAAAAGATCGAGAGGTTCATGGCCTAGACTTGATTAAAGAAGTTGAAGAAAATGTTCAGGTGATTCAGCACAACCTTAAAGTGGCATCAGACAGACAAAAGTCATACACCGATTTGAAAAGAAAAGAAATTGAATTTCAAGTAGGTGATAAGGTTTTCCTCAAAGTATCACCTTGGAAGAAAGTACGTCGTTTTGAGAGTAAAGGAAAACTCAGTCCTAGGTTCATTGGACTCTATGAAGTTTTGAAAAGATTTAACACTACAAGAAATTTTGATTGTTTCAACAAAATTATTTATCATTAAAATTACTAAATTTGTCACAATATATTTATTCTGACCAATTTTATTTATTACCATGTTTGTTAGAACAACCTTGTCATTTAAAGTATATTGTGTCAAAATTGTGTTCGTTACCATTGTATAGTATTTATTATAACAATGAAATTTTGTTACTATAATTAACTTATCGCAATAAAATATTTATCACAATCAATTAATTATTTCGTCATGAGAAATATATTTTGTCATAACTAACTTATATTTAAACATCAAATATAAAGGGTTTTTGTGACGAAAATACATAAGGCAACAAAAATTATTTTGTCACGGTTGTTATTTCGTCACGAAATGTAACTTACAGAGACAGAATATTTGTTAAAATAAAATAATTACTTTATCACAAAAAGTAAATTTCGTCACAATTAACTTAAATTATAACATCAAACAAAAAAAAGATTTTGTGACAAAAATACATATTACAACAAAATTTATTTTTTCACTACTTTTATTTCGTCACTAAATATTTTTTTATAACTTTTACTGTGATTAAATAATTTTGTTACAATTTATTATTGTGAAAGAATATTTTTGTCAAAATTTTTTATAATGAGAAATTAATATTAGATATAAATTGTTATTTTGATTAAATAAATTTGTCAAATTTTTATTTTAACAAAATATTGTGACAAAATAAATTTAACATAACTTTTTATTTTGATTAAATTTAATATTCAATATTCAATAATCAAATGAAAGTTTCAGATGACTAAATTTACCGTGTTATTGTAACTAAATAAATTTGTTACAATTTATTATAGTGATAATGAAAAAATGTTATTTGTCATAAATTTTTATATTTAGAAATTAATATTTATTATAAATTGTTATTATAACTAAACAAATTTGTCAAAAAATAACATAATTGTTATTTTGAGAAAATATTATGATGAAATAAATTTAACATAACTTTTTATTTTGATTAAATTTAATATTCAATATTCTATAATCAAATGAAAGTTTCAGATGGATTTGTAGAGCAGTTTTTACCATCCTCTTTGCAATTCCCTGCAAGTAGACCAAAGCCAATAAAATGTTAATTTTTTTCTGTTTTTTTCAGAATCCTTATTTTAGGATGAGATTCAATATTCTATAATCAAGTGAAAGTTTCAGAGGTATAAGAGAAAATATTACAGTTCATGACATTAAACATTGAGGCAGAAACTTACACTTCGTGGATGATTCTGAACTATACCAACAGCTTCTTGATTGCTTAGGTGCTCCCAGAGCCCATCAGATGCAAATATCACAAACTGATCATGTGGCTGCAGCTGGTGCACTGATATAGATGGATGTGCACTCAATATTGGCTTTTTGAAAGGTTCGCGAAGGCAGAATTTAGGATATAAAGGCTCTCTGTTGATCTAGGCCTTTTTCATATATGCATCACCAATAGATCTGGAAATGTGAAAGGTTGAGAATTCTATCAATAAAATTATCAAGAAAAAGAAAAGGGAGGGCATAACATTCTATGGAAAACCATATCAACAAAATTACAATTCTGAACTGCTAGAAAATAGAAAAAGAGTATGCACTGAACTTTAGATCGCAAAGCTTTTCGGCAGCAGCCGGTAGCACGTTTTAAATACGGACTTTAGATTTAGACTCAAGACATCGAAAACATAAAATATGACTTCCTCACCCGAATAATAGTGTAGCACCCTTTTGTATATTACGTACCCAAGCTTTTCATACATCTTTATGGCTGGTGTATTAGAAGCCCTCACAAAAAGATCCACAAAATATGCTTTGTCACTGCCAAAAGACTCATTATTGATGACTGAAGAGGGAATCGGTTGAGTGTTGAAGGCTTAGTGTTGTACTATACGATAGTGTTGGTGTGGGGTTAGGCTGATGGGTGATTTTTTCCCATCGCTATTTGTATTATGGTCATGTTGTATTTTCGAGGGTTAGAGTGTTATGTTTATCTTGTGTTTCTCAGGATCAGGATGTATTGTGTATCTTATGTAATTCTGGTTTATCAATAAAATGAGGTGCTCTTTTCCTCCCTCAATTAGTTTACATCAAATGTAAACTATGAGGGAGGTTCCTAATGAGTCCTCCTATTCCTATCAAAAAAAAAAAGAGTGTATCGGGATGACATTAGAGGTAAGAGAGAAATTTTCAGTTTAAAAGCACTAGCATGTACTAAAAATATGCATCATCGTACTTGAGTATACAAGTCAGGGTGATGTCAGAATCTCATAAAAAAACTGAGTGAAAGGAAAGCACTTCGCAAAAGAAAAGTATAGACCATTACCTAATTGATGTAAGCTAAAAGCTAGATTCTAAAAACACAGGGTATAAAAACCTTATCTAAAAATACCCAAATATACATGAAACGTGTGTTAGTTTCAATGGAAGATATTGTAGTTCTACCTATACACAAAGGTATTAGACGAAGCTAAAACTTACAGCTTGCATTCATAATGTAGTATTGTTGACTAAACTTTACGACCATTCTAGCAGTTCATAGAAAGCAACAGCTAAGGCATGATGCAAATTTAAAACTTTAAAAACTTCAAATCTAGTACTCGTCCGTTATAATTCTATTGAAAAATCTAATACTTAGGTAATTTCTAATCTTGTAATGCCCTACAAGCTAACTGCAGACAAAAGTTAGTCAAACTAATTGCGAGAAAATCCAAATCAAGGGAACATTAAATTGCACACCAATCTTACATATTATCACTGATTTCTTCAAGAAGGTTCATCAGTTTCTTAGCAAGCTGCTGCCAATAATATTCAGGGGCAACGGTGACTGCCATTACGTGGTCATGCCAAGACTCATCTTGTCCCTCAGCTTTCCCCAAAACTACAACAATTTCAAAGGTATCGAATTCATATACAATACCAAACAGCATATCCAATAAGAAGCATAATCCTCTTCAATTTAAATCTTAAACATCACAACCTTCTGAAAATCTGCTATATCAATTGCTTATAGTGATAATTAAATACGGAAGGCAATGAACACCAGAATCACAAATCGATTATAAGTTTTCTAATTATAAGAGTTCAAATTCAAAATAAAAAAAAATCTAATTCAAAAAAAATAAAGAGGGAGACGGAGATCTCACTGTAACACATTATTAGTTTGCCAAGGCCTTCAGCTACTTGAAAATAATCGGGCCAACAAGCTAAATACGTCAAGTAGAATGACATACTAAAGGTGTTGGTTAAGTGTTCAAGATTAACGAAAGTGAAACGAAGGAGATCGTTGCAGCAAAATCGGTGTATCGTTGCCATCTCTCTCAGTCTTGGAAAGCCGACCGGAAATGGAAGCTTTAATGAAACGCGGAGCTGCCGTAGTTGTAATTCAAGCTTGAATCTTGAGAACCCTTACCAACGAACACCAGAGAAAACACGATGGTGGGAAGTACCTTAGGTCAGGTTTTGTGCGGAACAGGCCGGGGAATACGTTGGTGACGGCGATGAGGCGAGACGGTCGCCGGATCGACCGGAATCGATGAAAATAGTAGAAACGGGGTTAGATTATTTTTTCGAATCTTTGCGACTAAAATAATGACGATAGACGTTGTTTCACGATGGGATGATGAACGGATTTTGGTCGGCGGTCAACGACGAATTGAACGGGGTAGTAGTGGACCGAATGGTGGCCGGTCGGCGAAGATTTGGGGTGGCCGACGAGGTTTCGGTTGGGGTTTTAGGGATTTTACTTCACGAAATTGGGGGTGCTTTTCCCTTTTATTTTCCACTGATATAAAATGAAATAATTCCAATTGTAGTCCCTAAATTCCCTAAAATTTAAATATAGACTTTAAGGTTCTGGAACTTTCAATTTAGTCTCCAATTCATTAATTTGAGGTGTTACATTAGGTTTAGATTTCTTTTAAATAAATCCCTACTAGAGTAATTAGACATAATATTAAAAAAAACTCGTTTTATTTTTTTGCCTTCACGATGAAAGAAGAAATATAAAGTTGGAATAATGGCTTGAAATGATTAAACTGAGTGTTTTAAAAAAGTATTTATAAAATAAATAAAAATAAATATCTCTAAAGATCAGTTTCCCTTTAAAAATCAATTTTCTTTAAAATAAAATAGAGGGAAATTTCCCTCCTAAATAAAACCTAGGTGCTCATATTTTCGAGTCATCGATACCCCATTAATTTTTATTTAATTTATATAAATTTTTCAAAAAAATACCTAAGGCTCTTGTACATCTAAAAAAAATCAATTTGGCCATCAAATTATTGTTGCATTCAATGCGACCCTCAAACTTAGAGAAAAAAAAACAAGTAACATGACCCTTTAACCAACAACGTCTATCATTAACCATTATGAAACTATATAATAAAAATATTAAAAATAGTTATACAACTAAGAAGAGTATTGTAGTGAATATAAAATGATAAACTAAAGTAAACTTTACCTAAACTTAATGTAAAAAATTTAATAGGAAATTTGCCCAACTATGGTTAATATATATTGTTCAAGACTTACACGGACCGCCTTACCTGAAGGCTTAAGTTAGCTTGTTCATTCCCAATTCAATATATATATTGTTCAATTTTTTAGAAATTTAATTTTCATTTTTACTATTTTTACTATTTTATTTTTTGTGTATTTTAGATTTTAAATTTAGAATAATGATTTTTTAATAAATAAACAAGCCCCAAAACTTTTTGATAATATATTTTTGTTATTATATTTTATTTGAAAATACCATTTAATTATATATGTATATGTATATATATATATATTTGTTATTATATTTTATTTGAAAATACCATTTAATTATATATATATTATCAGAAAAAATTAAAATTTTTGAACAATTTGTTTTTTATAATAATAATTATATTTTATCATTATAATTAAATATATAACTGCAAACATAATTTTTTTTATAAAAAAATTGAATCTTTTATTAAGTTAAAAAATAATATTTTGTGATAATTTTTCTATAGCAATAAGTATTACATATAGTTACAAAACTTGTCAATATATAACATTTTTGCACCAAAAAATAGGAAGAAATATTTCTAACAGTATAAGTTTTCATAATGATTAAAATATATAACTACAAAAATAATTAATTACAAAAACTTAAATTTTATTAATTACAATATATTTTGTTACTATATAACATTTTTTACACTAAAAAATAGGGAGAAATGGTTCTGGTAGTATAATTTTCATAATGATTAAAACATATAAGTACAAAAATAATTTATTACAAAAAACTTGAATTTTATTATTTGATGTGATAATATTTTCTATGACAATAACTATAAATTATAATTATAAAAAATATCAATATAACTTTTGAAACAAAAAAGTGGAGAAAAATAGTTATGGCAATTAATATATGCTATCACTATAGTTAAAATTTATAGCTACAAATATAATTTGTCACAAAAACGTGAATATCATTATTTTTGTGACAATGTCTTTTGTAATAATTATTAACACTTATAGTTACAAAATTTGTTACTATATGACTTTTTTGGCGCAAAAAAATATGGAGGGAAATCTTTGTGACAATATATTTTGTCACTATAATTAAAACATATAACGATAAACATTGTTTTTTACTAAAAGTTTGAATCACATTATTTGTTGTGACAATTTTTTTGTAACAATAATTATAGCTTATAGTTACAAAACATGTCACTATATGATTTTGTTTGTACCAAAAATTGGATATAATCATTTGTGACTATACATTTTGTAACTATAATTAAAATATATAATTACAAACAAAATTTGTCACAACAAATCTAAATCTCATTATTAGTTATGACAAATTTTTATGTCATAGTTACTAAAACTTTTAGTTACAAAAGTTGTCACTATATGCCTTCAATTTGGCACCAAAAAATTGGAGGGAAACATTTGTGACAAAAATTCGTAATAAAATTTATTTTGTTACCATATGTTACACATGTTTGCTAATTGTGACAAATTATTATTATGATTTTAACTTTTTTCATAATTGTATATCTTTTCTTAATCTAATGCGACGATTATTTATTTTATCACCAAAAGGCTACTAATAGTGAAAAAATTAATTTTGTCACAATAGTGGAAATTTCTTGTAGTACGGACCAGCGGCATATCAATTAGCGTTACCCCCAGAATTTGAAAAGATCCACAATGTTTTTCATGTATCTATGCTTCGATGATATCGATCAGATCTTGCACACATCATAATTCTAGAAGAGATAGAAGTTCAATCTGACCTGACATACGAGGAAGAACGGGTGCAGATTCTAGCGTATGAAATCAAGCAGTTAATGAATAAGACGATTCCGCTAGTTAAGGTTCAAACTCAGTGGTTGAATTAGAATAGTTTAAAAAATTCAAGGATTTATGGTGGAATTTTTGTGTAGGGCTTGATAGCAATTTTGGATTAGTGGAAAGAGAATTATGGTCTTTTCATTTTAAAGGATAATTATCTCCTTTATAAAGGGCTAAGTACGTGGATAAGGGGAAAAGTCTGGAACCAATTCTTGCTCTCTTTTTCGTGTCGTGAACTTCACTACCAAAGGTAAGTTTTGGTAAATTTGTTAGTTCCTTCAATTTTTGGTTTGGTATTGAAAGTTTGGGTGTTATATAAGCTTAAGGAATTGTATATGATTAAAACAACAAAAGGAGTGAATTAGAAATGGATTTGTAAAATGGGTTTTGAAATGAATTTTTTATATGGTGTAGTTTCTGGAGTTTTAATGATCAAACTAAAGAGTTAGGGGTAATATAAATGATTAAGAACTTGGTTGAGATAATGATATGATTTTAGATGTAAGAGTTTTAGTGAGATTTTGTATGTTTAAGAGTAGTAAATGAAGACAAGTTGGTTTAGATGTATAAGGTTGAGTTTAAAGGCTTAATGAGGGATAAAAATAAGAGATTCATGAAAATTTTGGTTGATTTTTGAAATGGAAATAGCCATTCTAGGCATGGAGTATCGGTACTGGAAGAACAGTATCGATACTTCAAGGAAAAATCAGTGGAATTCGAAGGGTAGTATCGGTACTGGTTGAAAAGGGTATCGATACTGAGTTGGGAGTATCGATACAAAAGGTATAGTATCAATACCATTTTTCAAGATTAATTTCCAGAATGTCAAAATGGTATCAGTACCGAAGGGTGTATCGATACCGTAGAAGAGGAGTATCGGTACTATAGTGGTAGTACCGATACTACTAATCATGAAATGAGAAATTAAGTGTTTCTTTCAGTTTAAGTTTTTATGATTGGATATAAGTGATTCAATGTATGATATTAATTTTTGATTGTTTTGTGTAGTCGTTGAACGAAATCAAATTCCGGTCAGCTCGACATTATAAGTTTCGATCAAAAGTATTAAGGACTTCGTTAGGACTTCATTGAGGCAAAGGTGAGTGCAACTTCTCGATTTCATATTAGAATTGAGGAAGCCTTGCGATAAGCCAACCTCGGTGTTTTTTATCGAAAACCTTACAATTTTTTTATATTATATTTGCAATGTTTTATTCAATTTATATTATGTAAGTTATGTTTTATGATTATATGTATATGATTATAGAAATGTGATCTTTGAACATATGTATCTGAAAAGACTTTATGTGAAAGTAACTATGTGAATAAGAGATACTTCGAATAATGATTGACAAATAATTATGTGGTTAATAGCCCAAGGTATATGTATGAGGATTAGCGGTATAGTTGGCATGCCAAGAGTCAAGGGTTTTATGCGGTCCTTTAGGACAATTTGTGGCACTTGGTACAACCTTATGTGGTCATTTGGGACAATTATGTGGCACTACGGTGCAACCCTATGTGGTCATTTGAGATAATTATATGGCACATCGGTGCAAATTACGAGCTATGGTGACATCATTAGTGTATAACCTTAATGTACTCAAATACCTAGAGTTCTCAGTAGTATACGTTCGGCATTTGTAAACAAAGCTATACAAAACAAATAATATACATAAGTATACATTCTTTCTATGGAAAATAATTTGAAAGTGTTTATGAAATGTTTCGATAAAATAAATAAAGATTTCATCTATAAGTTTAGTACTCTTTAGTTTTTGCTTCACTAAGTCATCGACTTAGCGTGTGAATTCCTCATGCTAAGTTTGAAGAAATCTGAAGGTTGAAGTTGTTGAGGATAACATACTCCCATGAAGATCGGATCAAGACAAATTGAATGTAGGTTTTATTTTTTTTGAAAGTTTGTAAACTGTTGGCATGTACTACAAGTTTAATTTGAAATGCTCTGATCTATTTTTGTAAACTGGTACTTTTGTAATTATGTAAATTATTAAAGATTTATGGAAGTATGAATAGAAGTTCATCAATTACTTTGAATTGAGTGGTTTCACATTATTAATATGAATAAAAGTTTAAAATTGTTTTTATTTGTGAATAATCTATGGTTTGAAAAGTCAATGTGACACCTCAGATTCGTATCGAGGTTGGTATAGGTTAGCGGTGTTACATGGAGATTGTGTATGGACAGCTGCCCTGCAGCAGGAAATCAAAGGCCACTGCCTGGAGCTAACCACCGTGGCAATTGATGGAATATCAGACTGCCCAAGAGAGCCATGAGACACATCCATACCAAGGATGATGATTGGAACTTTAGAAACATATGGATTTAAAGGTGTTTGCTCAATTGCTAATATCGAATTCATTCCTCCAA